CCGACGTGGGCCGGTAAGACTCCGTGGATGTCCCCCGTGTTGTGGTTGTTCGGGACGTTCACGAGGCGCCGACCCGCGTCGGGATCGCCCTGAATCGTGTTGCATTCGTCCCCGGTGTGCAAGAAAAAAACGAGGGGTGCGCCCAAACGCCGCGCGTTGTGACGAGCGCGCGTGTTGATCCATGTCGCCAACGTCTCCCAGTACATGCCCATGCCGCAGGCGAACGGAATTTTTCGTGCTAGTGGCGAGGGTCCAGGACGCCTTGGTGGTCCGAGGCCGATCTCTTTTCCCAGGCGGACCAGACGTCTGGCGGGAAGGGCGTTTCCTCGTGCATGCAGCCCGAGAGCGTGATCAGAGGCTCCCCGGGCTCGAACCGCTTCGTGCCTTTGAGCTCGAAGACGCAGGGGATCTGAAGGAAGACCTTGATGGCGTCCTGAATGTCTACCGTCGGGGGCTCCTCCCGCCTGATACCTCTTCCATATTCAAGCTTCACGGGCCCAGAAGTGACGACATTCATAGGTTTTCCGCTGAGTCGTTCGGGTAAACAAAAATGAGCTGCGTACCCCATAGTGAGTGGGTTCCCGCCTGAGATTTCTTTACAATATACGCACAAACGAGGCTCCCGCCTGAGACTTCCTCCGGTCATGAAGTCGATTGTGCTGGGTGGTGGTGACGATGGTGATGGTGAAGATGGTGGCGGGTGATGGGTCATTATGGTGACGTTGCTGATGGTTGATCGCGATGGTGTTCACCCATCGACGAGGCCCCCGCCTGAGACCTCAAGCTAAGTGTGTGTGTGTGTGTGTGTGTGTGAAAATTAGTGTGTGCGATAATAAAGTTGGTGGCGGTTGTGTTGTGATCGTGATGATAATGAGTGATGAGTAGTATGTGTGAGTGAGTGAGTGAACCACTCAATATAAGTGAGTGAGTGTGAGCGAATGATTCGGAAAGGGCGAGTGTGTGTGAGTGATACTTTAAATGATGGTGATGCTGTGATGATGATGATTTGAGTCTGTGTGTGACTGGTTGAGTGAAAATGGAGGGGGTGTTCCTTGCATCCTGTTCCTGCGCGGGGTGAGCAAAGAAAACAAAGACCTCACTACAGGGAGTGAATATTAGGAGTACTATTAATAGCAATATACTAGTGCTACGGATGACAATAATACGACGAGCAATAATAACAAGCATACGGTTAATACTATTGTTTCTAATGTTAATATGAACAATGGTAACAACGATAATGCTATTATAAATAACATCAAAACAAAGAATGATACTAGGGCGAATGCTACTAATGAGGAGGATGATGAGGAACAGGGGCGGAGGATGATCATGATGAAGATGAGGAGGAGCAGGAGGAGGGAGAGGAGGAGGAGGAGGAGGAGGAGGAGAATGCGGCGGACGAGTAGGAGGAAAAGGAAAAGGAGGATGAGAATCAGGAGGCGGAGGATGATAAGGATGATGATGAGGAGGAGGAGGAGGAAGAGGAGGAAGAGGAGGATGAGGAGGAGGAGGAGGAGGAAGAGGATGAGGAGGATGGGGAGAACGCGGATGAGGAGGAGGAGGACGAGGAGGAGGATAGGGAAGGGAGGAGCAGGAAGAGGAGGGGGAGGAAGAGGGTACTGATGATCATGATGCTGCTGATGGTGGTGATGTTGATGCTGATGATGATTATGATTATAATGCTGATGCTGATGATGCTGACGATGACATGATGCTGATGATGATTGTGCTGCTGATAATGATACTGATGCTGATGATGTCGATGTTGGTGTTGGTGTTGCTGCTCATGTTGATAATTATGATGATTATGCCGCTTATGATGATGATGCTGATGCTGATGCTGATGATGATGTCGATGGTGCTGATAATGATAATGCTGCTGATGCTGCTGCTGATGATGCTGAGGCTGCTGATGATGGTGTGCTTGTGGTGGTGCTTGTGGTGATGATGGTGATTACTGTGATGATGCTGATGATGATGACGATGCTGCTGACGATGACGATGATGGTGAGGCCGATGACATCCATGATGTTTATGATGATGCTGATGCTGACGATGATGCTGATGACGATGACGATGGTGATGTTGCTGATGATGATGCTGCTGATTTTGCTCATGCGGATGATGCGGATGCTGATAGTGACGATGCTGGTGCTGATGATGATGCTGATGCTGATGAGGATGATGTTGATGATGATGATGATGATGATGATGATGATGATGATGATGATGATGATGATGTTGATGGCCATGATGCTGCTGCTGTTGTTGTTGACGATGTTGTCTATGATGATGATGATGACGATGATGTTGTTGTTGTTGTTGATGATGATGATGATGCTGATGACGCTGCTGCTGCTGCTGCTGATGCTGCTGCTGCTGATGATGATGATGATGATGATGATGATGATGGTGGTGGTGGTGGTGGTGGTGGTTGTGGTGGTGGTGGTGGTGATAATGCGGAGGAGGAGGAAGAGGAGGATGATGAGGAGGATGAGGAGGAGGCGGAGGAGGAGAGGCATGATGAGGCGGAGGAGGAGGAGGAGGCAGAGGAGGGGAAAGAGGAGGACAATCATGAGGAGGATGAGGAGGAGGAGAAGGAGGAGGCGGAGGAGGAGGAGGAGGAGGAGGAGGAGGAGGAGGGGGAGTAGGTTGAGGGGCAGGAGGAGGAGGAGGATGAGGAGGAGGAGGAGGAGGAGGAGGAGGAGGAGGAGGAGGAGGAGGGGAAGGGAGAGGACCAGCGTCAACCCTCTTCATGGGCCCTGGCAAAAGGCTCATCTCCACTGAAGGAAGCGCCCCGTTGGGAGACAACCGTGTATACGCCCTTAATCGTTGCAGAACACCATTGTCAGCATTTCAATTCCACGATTTAATTTGATTCTGAGGTCTTTGCTTCCCGGAGTTGTGCTAAAATACAATTCCTTGGATTTCAACACCTCGAATCAACGTAATTGTTGCGCCCTGACAATCATGAATCGGTCCAAAAAGCCATTTCTGGTACTTTAACCATGGGAGCCCGTGAGACTGATACATTTTTAGGTACGAGTGCGCGCGGCGCTAAGGCGAGGGCCATTTGAAAAAGAGCCGCCCTCAATCAGTGAAGCCTTTGCGAATTTTAAGACCACTGTGCGCGGCGCTAAAACGAGAGCCACATGTTGTAAACCGCCCGCCCTCAATCCGTGGAACCCTTGCAAACTTTTTAGACGAATGTGCTTGGCGCTGAGGCGAAAACCTTATTTTGAAAATGACCCGCCCTTTATCCGTGAAGCTCTTGCGAGTGTTGAAAACGAATTTGCGCGGCGCCAAGGCGAGAACCACATGTTGCAAACGACCCGCCCTCAATCGGTGAAAAACCTTTGCGCACTTGTAAGAGGAATGTACGCGGCGCTCAGGCGAAAACCACATTTTGAAAACGACCCGCCTTCAATCCGTGAAACTCTTGCACATAATCAAGACGAGGGTGCGCGGCGCTCAGGCGAGAGCCACATTTAAAAAACCACCCGCCCTCCATTTGTCAAACTGTTGTCAATTTTTTAATCGAGAAACGCGGGGCCCGCCCTTTCGACTGTCTCGGGGTGCGACAGGGAGGACTTACTTATCCGTCAGGGCTTCGCCCCCTGCCGCCGGATCCCTTTCTTGGATAATGGGGTATGCAATAGCTATGTTGTCGGAGACGCAAATATTGTGCAATTTACGGGAGAGTCTTGTCTCGGAGACGCGGATCTGGTTTATCGTGCGAGGCGTTGCTGGATGAGGAGGAGGATCAAGAGGAGGAGGAGGAGGAGCAGGAGGAGGAGGAGGAGCAGGAGGAGGAGGAGGCGGAGGAGGAGGAGGGGGAGGGTGATGGTGGTGAGGAGGAGGCGGGGAAGGAGGGGGAAGACGAGGGGCGTCCCCCCCCCCCCCTGCAGGCTGGCGCCTCCGTGCCGCCCTCCGCGGCCGCGGTCGCCTGGGGCGAGGTCCGCGGCGCGTGCACTTCCCTCGCGTTCGCGGCCCCCCCCCTTTTTCTGGCCACTCATTAGAGCGAAGGGGAGGAGCGCACCATCACCCGAGATGTACCCAACCCCTTTACCCCGAGAGGCGACTATTTATCCGTAAGGGCTTCGCCCCCTGCCGCCAGCCCTTTCTCTATCATAATGGGATCTATCAGAGTCGTCTCGGCGCTGCCTTGGCGCATCTGGGAGCATCATTCGGGGGCGCGGATAGGAATCATCAGCACATATTGAGACGCTGGCGTTATCGAAGACGCCTACGGCGAACCACCGCCGCCTCCTGCCTTCTAGAATCGCCCATGTGGCCGAGCGTTGTGGCAAGAGCTCTGCCAAGCTATCAGACCATGTGTTTCCCCAACCGTTGTGGAAACCCTTCGGGAATACTTGGGGGAGGATGGCGGAGAAGATCAGGAGGAGGAGGAGGAGGAGGAGGAGGAGGAGGAGGAGGAGGAGGAGGAGGAGGAGGAGGAGGAGGAGGAGGAGGAGGAGGAGGAGGAGGAGGAGGAGGGGGCATCTTGGGAGCCTCTGGGGACACTCTTGGGGCCTCGTGGGAGCTTCCTGGGAGCCTCTTGGAGGCATCTTGGGGGCCTCCTTCGGCCTCTTGGGAGCCTTTGGGGGCTTCTCGGGGGCCTCTTTGGCAGTCTTGGTGGGCTTCTGGCCCGTCTGACGCCCTCGGAAGCCGTCTTGGGGGCCTCTCTGGGTCGACTTGGGGCCCTCTTGGGGTGCTCCAGGGCCGTCGTGGAGGCCATCTTTGGCGTCTCCGAGGCCTCTTGGGCCGTCTTGTGGCCCTCCTGGGGCGGTCTTGGGGGCCTCATGGGCCGTTCTGGGGCCATCGTGGGGTCTCATGCTGCAGCTTCTTCCCACGGTCTCAGCGTTGGGGCAGTCGGAAGTAGGAGAGATGGTTGGCTCCGGAGTAAGACCTCGGCCGCGTCCCTGCAGGAGAAGGCGACGGCGAGGATTGGTCCCAGGACCCCCCTCGTCATGGGCGCCCGAGTCAGGGATCTGCTTTACAAGGGCCTCGTCAATTTAGGCTATCCCCGTTTCCACCCTTGTCTTCGGGTCCCGAGGACTGCTCGCGTCTGCCCCGAGGCCCTGAAACATGTGAAGGCTTCCTTCGCGCGCCCCGACTGCAATGCGCGCCCGAGGGCCGAGCGGTGTCGGAGGGCCGCCGTGCCCTGGGCGTGTCAGCTCAATCGGGCGCTCGGAGTGGACGTGTGTTATGGCGCCGGCAACCTGGCGCTTGCTCGGTGCAGCGGATGCCGCGCGCCAGCTTCCCGTTGCGCGTGTCGTGTGGGGCGCATCATCTGTGAGCGCGTGGATTGGATATTTCGCACCCGCCCCCCCCCCCCCCCCCCCCCCCGAGCTGGTCCTGTCTGGCGGCGGTTCGGAATGCCAGTCGTGCTCGCTCTGGGGGCTCGCGCGGCGCGGAATTTGCCGGCGCGCGGTGCGCGCCGAGGCCCCCAGGGAAAACGGCAGTGTCACGAGGCGTGTGGGGTGGGGCGCAGAACTTCTGCATGAGGGGTCTGAGGAGACGATGGTGTCTTCAGGGCGGGAGTTGGAGCTCTATGCCCACGAGGGTGTGTTCTCCAGGAATGACAACCTGCGTCGATGGGGGTTCTCTCCCAACCAGCTCGTCATTGGTCGCGACCCCCGTGTCGCCTAGGAACTCATGTCGGGCGATCCCTTGGGTTTGGTCGGGCAGCGCGATCTAGACGAGACTGTCTGGGACAAGGATTCGGTTGTCGCAGATTTTGCGCGGGCCGTGAGCATCCGCCGGTTTGCTCGGGCCCAGTTCTGCCAGAACGGCTGTCGGGCTCGGGCCCAGGCCGCGGCGAGGGCTTCTTGCCGCCACGACGCCAAGTGTAGTCCCTGGGATTGGGTGTGCGTTTGGTGGAGAGCTCCTCGCACTCAGCGCAAGTTGTTTGCGCCTCAGCATGACTGGTGGGCGGGCCCCGGGGCGGTGGTTTCTCAGCTCGGCAACAGTGTCTGGGTTTCGATGCGATCGCACTTGTGGACTGTGCCAGTGAGCAACTAAGGCTGGCTTCCGGTCCTGAGGTCAGGGGGGGCCGAGACTCTGCTGGACCCCGCCCCTGATCAAGGCGGCGCAGTCGGGGCAGCGCCGTCGGGGTGTTGGCGCAACGTGAGGGGCTTCCTCCCTGCGAGGCCTGGGGGGCGTTTGTTTCTTCCTGAGAGGGGTCCGCTTCTGCGCCTTTCCCCTCCGCGCCCCCCCCCCCGAGTCGCCCGCCCCTCCGGGCGACGCAGGGCGCGGCGATGTGCGGCGCAGAGGGAGCGGCGCTCCCGCGGCGTCCCCGATGGGCAGGCCTCGACCGGGCGTTCGGCGAGATTCGCGGAAGTCGGGCCGGTTTCGCTCTCGCCCTCCCTGTCCCCACTTCCCAGTCTTGTTCCCAGCGAATCAGCGGATCCATTTGGTTCTTCCCCAGGCGATCGCCCGAGCGCCGGCCGACTCTGAAGCCGTCGTCGAGCAGCAGCGGCTGGAAGCCACCCGCAGGGCCCGCCAATTGGATTTCGGGGAACCGAGGGCCGGGCCCGGCGGCGACCGCGACGGAGCCTTCAGACGTCCGAGGGAGGAACGGGCGCGGAGGTGCCAGGACCGCATTCGAAACCGTCCCTTTCCCGTGGTTGAGGCCGGGGGGCCCCCGAGGGCCGTGTTTGAACAGTGCTGGCCGACTGGTCCAGGCCAGGTCAGAGAACGACGGGCCCGGGTGCCGGCGGGGGGAGATCTCGCTCTCGCGATCGAGGCGTCGCTTCATCTGAGCAGCCTGCCGCCGCGTCGGAAGGGGCGGGGCTGCTGAGTGCAGCGCGCAGCGGATCGAACAGTATTTTTCCCCCGTGCAGGAGGGCGTGGGCGAGAGGCGGCGGAGCGGTTCCTGGCTCGAATTCGGAAGTGGAAGCGCTGGGGTCGAGTTGACCCTGGGAGAAGGCCTGGGGGCCAGCCTTCTTTCTTGGGCCATGCCCCGTGGCCCGAGAGTTCAGCGTTCCCGACGCGGCCGACTGGGCCGCGAGTCCGGGGGCAGGGGGCAGGGGCGGGGGGCGTCGAGGCCGTTGCCCCGACGGGGTCGTCTCCAGCAGAATGGTTTGCAGGTGGAGGCCACAGGGGGGCATTTCCCCCGTCCGAGGGCCAATGGTCGATGGTGCGTGAAGGGTCGCGAAGACGCAGACGCCGGAGAGTGTCGCGTCTATCCCCCGACCCCGCGTGGAATCCCTGATGTTAACTCTTGTCGTTGCTCTCCCTCTCTCTTTTCCTGTCTCTGTCCCTGTCTCTGTCTGTCTGTCTGTGTCTCTCTCTCTCTTTCTCACTCTCTCTCTCTCTCGCTCTCTCTCCTTCTCTCTCTCTCTCTCGCTTTCTCTCTTTCTTTCTCTCTTTCTCTCTCTCTCTCTCTCGACGCGCGAATCGGGGATCTGCAGGGCGCTTTCTGCCCGTTGGGCCCCCTGGTTCGCCCCCGGGGGGGAGTGTTCGGGGGGCTCCGCGAAGGACTGGATAAGGCCCTTGGGCCACTCGCCGAGTTGATCGCTCCAGCGTGTGGCCTGGGCGACGCCCCCATGGCCCTGGGGCAGCCGCGTCGCCGCCGCCCCTCGGATCACGGGGGGCGGATCGCGTAGCCTCCCTGTCGGTTCCGAGATCTCGGAGTTTTGGACCCCTCGTTGATTGGCTGAACCGGGTCGTTCGCGAGACGAGGGCCGAGGCGCGCGGCGCGGCGCCCCCGCTCGCCGGTCGGCTCGAGCTCCCTGGCGTCGGGGGCGCGGTCGCCCCGAGTGGGCCGCCGCGGGGAGGCAGGCCGCGAGCGCCCCCAATCATGGCGCGTCGCTTCGAGGCCCGTTCCCCGCTATTCGCCAGGCCCGCGGGCTGCGGACGGGGCGGCGAGTAACTCTGGGGGCGGCCCGCGGCGAGCGCGGCGAGCTCGCGCGGTGGATCCCGCGTTGCTTCCCGGGGTCCCGGGCCCGAGTCTCCCCGCTCGCTTGGAGGTCGCGTCGAGCGCAGAGGCAGGTTCCGTTTGCCCCTGTCGGGGGTGCACGGGCTTTGGCGGAGGCCGAGTGGCTTCAGATGCAGTCATGCGATGTGATGAAAGGAATTATTCTGGGCGGCTCTTGCAGATCACGCATCGGGCCATTCCCGTCTGTCCTGAAACAAATTGCGCTCTCGACGTTGGCTCCTCTGGTAGCATTTGTCGTGGGCGCCGAGGGCGTCCTCGATGCCCTCGACAAAGAGACCTCGGGCAGCAAGAGGGACTGGATAGCAGCGACGACCTGGCCACAAACTAACCGTGTGCCAGGACTCCCTAGGACGAGTCGGTGGCGCTGTCCGTTGGGTTCCGTAGCCCATTGTGCCAGTGGAAGTGATGACAGAAGAGGGCCTCGCTTAATTCAGCGCAGTTCAGTTGCCCGTGCTGCGCTCGGGTATGTTGTGAATCGCCTCCAAGAGCGCGGCCCTGGAAGCTCGTCGGCAGGGCCCGTCGTCGAAGGGTCGCTCTCGAGCTACGTCCATCAAGCAGCTAGCGTCGGCGCCGTCTCTTTGGTCGTCGCCGTCGTCGGTCTTCCTTTCGCTTTCCATTCTGATTTTGATGCCGGGGCCGCGCTCGCGGGGCAGGAGATTCTCGGCGGCGACGGGCCAAGTGGCATTGTTTCTCAGGGTGAAACGGCGCCCTCCTCAGATTGCCTGTAGCGGGGAGTCGCGAGCCCATTAAAAAGGGGCGAACCGAGCAAAACGGGTCATGTAGCGTGTTTTTCTTAGGATCTCTAACGCATCTGTTCGATGGGATTTTCACGCCCGCGCTCGTGTGTTTGCGCCGCGGCGCCCCCTCAATTCGGGGCTCTGCCGCTTGTGGGGAGAGGCTGTTCGTCGCCGCTTGCTCCGTCGTCGCCCGCTGCTCCTCCGCGCGCCGCCCCCTCTCTGGCCCCCCCTTGGGCTCCCCGTGCAGGCGCCTCTGGGGCGCCGGGCGCCGCGCCTGGGGGCGTCGGGCGCGATCGGCCGTCTGTCGGAGAGTTCGGCGGCGCGCCGGGCGAATGACCTGGATGGGACAAGAGCGCGCAGACACAATGAGTCGTCGGTTTCCCAGAGAAGACGGGAAAGGAAGACAAAAAACACCCAGGAGACGTGGGCAAATGTGGGGGATCCTATTCTTTGTGTTTGTTTATTTGCGTGTCCCAGGGCCCCTACCGAACGAGGCGGGGCGGGCGAAGCAGGGCTCGCCCGCCTCCGGGCGGCGCGAGGGGGCGGGCTGCGCCTCCTCTGCGGCCCTCTGGTGCGACGCCGCAGACTGCCGCCCCTGCGGCCACTCCCTGCGGCAAGTCCTCCTCCTCCTCCTCCTCCTCCTCCTCCTCCTCCTCCTCCTCCTCCTCCTCTTCGTCCTCCCCCCTCCTCCCCCTCCTCCCCTCCTCCCCCTCCTCCCTCCTCCCTCCTCCTCCTCCTCCTCCTCCTCTTCTCCGTCCTCCTCCCCCTCCTCCCCCTCCTCCCCCTCCTCCCCCCTCCCCCTCCTCCTCCTCCTCCTCCTCCTCCTCCTCCTCCTCTCCTCCTCCTCCTCCTCCTCCTCCTCCTCCTCCTCCCCCCCCCCTCCTCCTCCTCCTCCTCCTCCTCCTCCTCCTCCTCCTCCTCCTCCCCTCCTCCTCCTCCTCCTCCTCCTCCTCCTCCTCCCTGCGGAGGCCCGGAAGGAATCCGCGGCGCTGGTGACGTGGGGGCCGTCGAGACCTGTTCCCCCGCCCAGGGTCTTCTCCGCGCGCTCGGCATCGGCCGGCGCCGCGGCCTTGGCGGCCCCGTGTCCTGTCTCGCTCGCCTGGAGGACGTCTCGCGCGCCTGCGCGCGCGTTGCTGAGCGTCGGGAGGCATTCGAAGGAGGCTTCGCGCAGAGAGTTGCGACCCTGGGCTCCAGCGGCCCCGCGGCGAAACTCCTTGATGGGTGGGGAGGGGCTCCTGCGCCCCCCCTGGCGCCCCGCCAGGGAAGATCCCCAGACTTGGTGCTGGACGCGTAATGACAGCACTTCGGCCGTTCTCGGAATGCGATGGTGGTTTGTGCCGCGGCCCTAACGTGAGACTTCGGCCACGGGGGCTTTTTGGCCTTGCTGTAGGATGTTCCTCGCGTCGTGAGACTATGCGCCTGGTGGCCCTGGGTGCTTGCCACAGGGTGATCTGCGCGTGTAAGCATGCTTTTGGCGGCCCATGGTCCTTCCTCGAGGCTGCTCCGCGCGAGCGCGCGCGCATTTTTTTGGGTGCGCGCCCGCGGGTGCAGCGGCGCGGCGTAGAAAGGTCGGGCGAAGAGACAGACGCGCGCGGGGCTGGTTCAGATCACGTAGCGTGGAGATAGTGGATCCGCCAGTAGGTGTCAACAACTGCACTCAGGGGGGGGGGGGCAGCCGGGAGATTGGGACAGGGGGAGACGACAGACGTACCGAACAGTGCGCAGTCCAGGCAGCAACGGAGGGCGCATTGACGGACCGCAAAGGCGGAACGTGTAGGGGCGAGTGCGCAGTCCAGGCATCAAGGGGGGCGGCGCTGTGACGGGCCGCAAAGGCGGAAAGCGTAGGGACGAGGCAATAGGGAGGACGCGGACCCTGAAAGCAGGAGACGGACAGGGATGCGACAGGGGCAGCCGAGGAGGGCCGCCGACAAGGGGAAGGAAACGCCCGCACAGGGAACAAAACGTGCACAGAAACATGCATGCACACTCACGGTGGTCTTTGGCTTTGTTGAGGGCGGTTCCGCACGTGAGACCGCGCTCGCGGTTGCCCCAGGTGTTCGTTGGAGGTTACCCCGCGCATGAAAACACATGGTTTCGGGCTTGTTTGTCCTCGTGCGCATTTCGCCGCGGCTTCCTCTGCTTCGCTGCGTCCTCGGGGCGCCACCAATCGCGGGGCGAGACCTCCGGCGATGCAGCTGCATCACCGAGCGCGATGCGACGTGCTGTCTCGATTCCTATTTTCCCATGCCCTGACGGCGCCCCGAGTCGCCACCACTCGCTGAGCGAGACCCCCGCCGATGCGACGCATGCCGCCCCCCATTTCGGAGGAGGGGCACAACTGGAGGAGGAGATCCCGCCAGGGCGGCGCGAGCGCCCCCTCGAGCACCACGCGGGCGAAACCCTGCCGAGAGGGTGGGATGTGCACGCGCGATGTTCGGCAGATCCCGCGCTCCCGACCCTGGCCTCCGCAGGAGGCAGCTGTAAACTACCGCCATCCCAAGCCGGGGCCATCCTGGGCCCCAGGGCCCTGGTCCCCAGGCCTCACTGGCGCCCTCTCGGTCGAGGCCAGGAGGCCGTGTGACCATCCTGTGGCCCATGGTGGCCTTGGGCAGGGAGGGTGCCCGTCGTTTCCGAACAGCTCCCCCTTCGGGATTCACCCCCATCCGCCCATCCCCCCCCTCCCCATCAGGTCCCCTGTCCGCCTCCCCTCCCCCCGCGCCCGCCCCGTCCCGGCTGACCCGCCGCCATGCTGCTGCTGCTCCTCCTCCTCTCCTCTCCTCCTCCTTCTCCCTCCTCCTCCTCCTCCTCCTCCTCTTCCTCCCCCTCCTCCTCCTCCTCCTCCTCCTCCTTCTTCCGTAGCCATTTTGGCTCGAGGCATATGCTTTGGCGGGCTGAGCCCGCATTGGTACGCGCGGATACTGCTAGTCCGCGGCAGTGCCAGAGCGCTTGCGCTCGACATCCTTTTCGCGGTCAGTGGTCCGCCCCACTGACCGCCTGCCTCCTGCGCCCGCGGGTGAGCAGTTCTCGTGTCCTCTCCAGCCAGCTTCAGCCATGGGCGCAGAGGGCAAGGATATCATGACTGTACTGCAGGCGATGCAAGCGCAGCAGGCACAAGACATGGCGAATATCAACGATAGCATCAGGGCGACTGACGTCATTGATGCCCGCCTCATCCAGCTGGAGCCGCAGATGGCGCAAGTGAACAAGTAGATGACGGAGATGGAACAGAAGCTCGAATCAAAATATTCGGAATGCATGAAGGCAGTCAACTCCCTGAAGGATGACATGCATTTGCAGACCGGCTCCAGCACCTCGGGAAGTACTGGTGTGAAGAGGCATCGCGGAGCTCTCTCATCACTGTCGGGTTCTGGCTCATGGGCGGGATCAAGCAGCTCCTATCCGCCAAAGCACGTCACTTCTGCTGACCCTTGCCGACGATGGATTGGCACATGCCCGAGGAAGGTCTTAGACATCACGCGACGTGCTACGTGGGAAAGTATGGTTGTTCGTTTCCCTGTTCATCTTCCTGTTGATGCTGCTACGCCACGCTGTCATTGATCTTCTCAAAGTTTCTAAGTGACTTGGTCCAACGAGCAGCAGGCGAAGGACTTCGCAACATAGTTCGGCATGGCTGGTGTTACTTGGGAAGACCCGAGGAAACCTCCCAATCATCCACATAAGGTCACACAATTCCGACGCCGTTGAGATCTACCTCATGAAGTTCGAATGCGACAGCGCCACCTGGGGATGGTATGGAACCCGATGTTGCAGTTACTGAAGCAGAGTGACAATTGGACAAGTGAATGCAAACTGGGATGCTCAGGCTTTTCCAATTCAGTGTCTATCACGGCCAAGGACGACGTATTCGACCTGATCAAAGTCGATGATCCGGGCAACGCAGAGATGGTCAAGGAAGACTGCGAGTACTGGGGCCTCACTTCCGAGAGGATCAGGCCTGTGCTGCAGATGCTGAACGTGGTCTGACAGCAGGCCGAACGGGATGGACGGCATGACGACCTGAGCCCTCCGCCTCCTGCCGCCTCTGTGCCCTCGCCTTTCTTTTGGCCTCGCAGTCGTCTGTCTGTCTGTGCGTGGAATGCTGCCACCCTTTTTGGCGCGGTTAGTGGGGCTCACGCGCTGCAAGCAAAAACATTCAACACATTTTTGCGTCTCGCCGAGATCCGATCCTGTTTTAATCCAGGAAGCGCACGGGCACTCTGGGGATCTCAGTACTCTCTCTCGTCTCCTCCCCCACCATCGTTGTGTTGGCTCGTTCTGTCCAGATGGCATCAGTGGTGGTGTTCTTATCTGTGTCCATGAACGCTTGCGCATGCACTTCGACTCCTTCAACGCAATGGAAATAATACAAGGTCGCTCCGTTGCATATGGAATTACAGGTGGTCACGGCTCCCTTACCCTCTGTTTCTCTCATCTCAACCCGAATCATAGCATCGTAGGTAAGAAAGTTTTTTTGGCTACTGTATCTCGATGGCTTGATCCAGTCCACTCGACAGTCATCGTTGGAGGGATTGCGAACATCTGTGCTCTAGGCGAAGACCGGCAGCATATAGACCCTAGTCTTGATCGCACCCCGAGCGGCTTGCTGGCAACAGAATTTGGCAGGTTATTTTATCGATGCGCTGAGCTCGCGCAGGAACACACACATGCCACTGGGCGTGCAGGTATTTTGCTCAGCACATCTCGCCTGGATCGTATCTATTGCAGCCTGCCGCCGTCAGTCATGCTCGATCTTGCACCGGCTGCAGGGATGGAGTTGCAACCAGCAGACTTGAGAGATATCAGTTATCATGTGCCTGTCTATTCTTGCCTCTCCGCTCTTGAGCCTAATGCTGTACCTGTGCTCCCGCGCTGGCTCTGTCGGTCACAGACTTCGGTATGCAGGTTGAAGCTGCCATTGAAGAGTACGGTCTGTCTGAAGTTCCTGCTACGGCGGTGCAGGAAGTGAAATCCATTATGCACGTGGTTGCACATGAGTTCTGCATGAGTGCGTGCGCGTCCAGCTCGCGGTGCACAGGACGCAAAATCGCGTGGTGCATGTACTGCG